CGTTGCCTCCGAACTAGGGAACGGAAACCGGGTGAACTTGGCTTGAATGCACGTCGGGCAGCCAAGCACCTCATCGGGCTCCCCCTTCACACGTATGCCAGCAACCATCTCATTCTTCACTAGCTGCTGCAAGATGGGCAGGGCCACATGCCCCATGCGCCGATGCAAGGTGAGCCAATCACACTCCCCCGTAGCCGAAGTTGGATTGGAGAATGCCGCGCTCGCAATAGCGCCCCACATACTCTCTCCGTAGTCCTCCTCCGCTGCTGCCTCTGGGTTCTCCTCACCCTTTTGCTGCTCCTTGGTTGCTGCACCACTCTCCTTAGGTTCACTAAACTTGCTGGTCCCTCCAGGTTTGCTCTTCTTGAGCTCATTCTCCTTAGCGCGACCGTTCGCGCCATCGTCGCTACCGACCGCTCCATCCTTGGTGCTGATGCTTGCTGCCACTTGCCTCTCCTTAGGCATAGGGACCACTGGGATCTGCCACATCTCGTTGTAGACATCCCTGTCCTCATGAAGGTCCCAAAGAATTCGATCGCCAAGCCTTGCGGTGTAGGTCTTGGCTCCCTTCGAGTTCGTGTCCATGCCGGCCTTTGCCAACCGCCGCACGGAAATCAGGTTTGCAGCAAGGCTGGGCACCCAAAGTACGTTCTTGAGGCCCACCATCTTCCCATCAGCACCCTTGAACATGGCCTTGCCCATGCCTTTCACCTCTGCTCGCTGCCCCAAAGCCGATGTGACATGCTTCACCGGTGACGGCTCGAGTTCGGTGAGCAAGTCCGGGCGAGGTGTCATGCTATAGGTAGCGCCACTATCAATCACCCAATAGTCCAGGGGGTGTAGGGTCACCTTCCCCACAGCTGCTGGCTCCTCAAAGCCTTCATCCTTCTCTGGACCAGCCGGTACTTGCGTCGACACGAAGTAGAATAGACCCGGGTATCGATTGTCGCTCGGGTCCTTGTCGTTGTCTCCGCTCTTCATGTTTGCAGCTCCGCCACCGCGACCGCCACGGCCTCCACGGCCTCGTCCTCTCCCTCCTCCTGCTCCTCTACCCTCTTGGCCTTGAGCAGGGGTCCAACCATCAGGGAGTTTGTAGCAGTCGCGCCACATGTGTCCGCTCTTGTGGCAATAGTGACACTCGCCGTCGAATCGGCCGCGACCGCGTCCGTAGCTCTTGTCGTCGCTGCCGTAACCGCCACTCCTGCGGCCTCCGCCGAAGTTGCTGCCACCAAACCTTCCTCCCCCTCGTCCTCTGCCTCTTCCTCGACCATATCCACGGCCGATGCTCGCTGCCCCAGCGCCATCCGCACTCGCCAACTCACGGCGGCGGAAATCCTCTTGAAAGATAGCTCGCTTCACGTCTTCAAGCGAGAGGCGGGGCAAGTCGCGATTAAGGTTGATGATGAGCGAGGACCATGACTCTGGGAGTAAAGCCAGCAACTTGGTCTTCTTTTGGAGCTCACTGTAGTTCAAATCAGCTCCCTCAAGCCGCGTCAACAAGTCGAAGAATTTCTGCACCCCTTCTTCAACCGCTTCGTCTTCTTCAATTCGTAGTGCCGCCACTTGCCGTTCCAACACCACCGCTACCGCCGCTGTTGCAGGAGCATGTACACCCTTGAGAGCAGCCCATGCCTTTGGTCCTTTCTCTGGTTCACGCTGGAATGGCTTGATGTGACGGATCTGACTGCTCCCCAACGCTTGCCCAAGTAAGAGATAGCCTTGTGCGCTCTTCCGCACCCACGGGCTCTTCTCCGGGTCGTTCTCGGGGCGCTTCTCCGTTCCTTCCATCACCTCCAGCAGGTCATAGTGGTCAAAGATGTTCTCCATCTTGAAGGACCATTCAGCAAAGTTGTCACCGTTGAACTTGTCAAGCCCAAACACCCTAGGCTCATCCCTAGGTGGGCCAAGACTTGGTTGCATGGGCGCCACGGCTGAATCACGGGGTTGGCCTTGAGCTTGAGCTTCTCCACTGCCACCAGCACCTCTGCCACCCCTTTCCTCAGGTCCAGACATTGTCGAAACTGCTCCAAGGGCCTCTGATACCACTTGTTATAGTCACAATAGGCTTGAATGTGCCTAAAACGAAAGATAGAGAGCACAGACGGATTTCTGCACAGCGGCTTCAAACGTTGATAGCGTTCTGCTCACAGCTGCAAATGACTTCATGTCGTCTACAATTAGCAATTTAGATTGCACGATTTGATCAAGAATTGACGACACAGCGTCGGTTTGAACAAACGGTACTATGGCAGCCACTATAGTCTTAGAACACAAGATAGGAAGAGTTACGAGTTGGGAATGACTCCCAGCTCCTACAAACCCCAAGAGCCGAGGTACAGTGATGTGGAACGGTGCCACACTGTCCCCAACCACGAAGGGTCTCGAAACTACCCTTCACTAGGGCCTACACCAAGTGAAATGTTACACTACACAAAGTAATGTAACTATCTTCAATATCTTGAGGTGTACCCTTTTTGGCGAGCTTCGAAATCACTTGAGGCTTGACACCAAGGCTCGGGCTCTTCATCACAAACTCATCCTTGAGTTCTTGATGGGTCTGCTGCACACACCTGCGACACGCCGAACGTTCGACACAGGACAAAATAGAAACCGCGCACGACAAAATAGAAACCGCGCGCGAGACACAAACGACCGCGTAACACGCGTCTAGCGATAACTCGCTATTGACTCGACACACACACTCGACATCATGACTCAACATTCACACACAATTATAAGCATGAAATATATATTATCCCATGCCCTCATACCATTCCATACACACACACATTCACGCACACGGACAACAAGCCGAGTGCAAACCATAGGGTTGCACCAACACGCTGCACTCGCGCCTGGATTCCGTCGACACCACCGTCGACCTTGATCACCCCTCTCTGCTTCGTGCCTTCGCTGCCGCTGACTCGTGCACCTCCGTCGACCTCGTCGTCGACGCCACCTTCGTTGCGCACCGGTCGAGGAGATGTAGGACGGGAAGGGTGTTCCGTCGCCCACTACGACCGGATGCCCAACTCGGCGATCACCAAGGGGATCGTCCCGTACTCGCCATCCGCGTGGCGTCTCCTCGCGTCAGCCAAACGTGCCTCCAAGGTGTCCGCTACGCCCGCATCAACTACGGGGTCGACCATGGCGACTAACGCTGCTGCCGGCCTACGAACGACTTAGTAGGTGCAAAAGTCGGCTCCTATCTGAAGGTCGCGTGTTCGTTCCACGCTCACCGCACCATGCGAAGAGTCACTCTACAACGGTAGTGAGCTAGACTATGGGGTTGGCACGAACTACTAGGAGTGATCGTAGCTTTGCTTGCGTTCCTTAGCACTTGCACATTCACAGGAGATGTTGGCAAGAGTTTCACTAGCAAAGTTGGAATTCCAGAATGATTGAACAAGCAATGACAGAATTGACTACATCAGGCACCTAGCAACCCTGCAGCTAGCCTGGTCGACCGCCAGCACAGCTTGGTCGACCGCCTGCCAGCGTTGCGTAGAGGAGCCGCGCCAGCACTGCAGAAGGGCGACTTGCCAACACTGCAGGTCAACGGCGTGCCAACGCTGCAGCAAAGCGGCTGTCCAGCGTTGCCCCGTAGAAGACAGCAATGCGCACGCTCGCATGTGCGTGCAGACGATTGGCCCAACTTGCACCGTTGTGCATCCGTCGGCTGTTGTCTGCGCCTGACGAGCCACATCGACTTCGGGATACTAGTCCGAAGTCGCCTTCGCCATCGCGACCTCGACGACGTTCGCGTGCCTCCGCAGAACTCGTCGAACAGGTTACCCGGTCGACCTGGTCGACCACCAAGTGCTCCGATCGACCACCAGTGCTTCTGGTCGACCACTGGGTCCCTCTGGTCGACCATAGCTCCCGTCGAGCTACCCCCTGGTCGACGGACCCCTTCCGTCGACCAGAACTGTCAGCTGTTGTCGCCGAGCTCCCCTCGTCGACCGCTGCTCACTTGTCAGGTCGACGGACTGCTCCGTCGACCTCCCGGTCGAACTGCCCCTCCTGGTCGACGGCCCACCCGTCGCCCAGACCAGTCAGTTGCAGCTGTCGAGCTCCCTGGTCGACAGCAACACCACAGCGGTCCCCTGCAGCTCGACCAAGCCTGTCGAGCAGCTCTCCCACTGTGAACGGTCGGCTGCCACTCCCATACATCCGACCAAGTCGTCGGCGTTGCCCAAGCGAGGGTGGGGCCAACACTCCATTCCCGTTAACAATGCGCCTGTGGGGTGGTGACACGAATCTGTCATGTGAGTGAGAGGGGTGGTAACACGAGTTTAGTTGAGGGGAGGTAACACAATTTGAGATGTCACCCTGCTTGATGGTAACACAATCTGATATGAGCATGAGGGGTGGTAACACACCTTGAGAGGAGCATGAGGGGTGATTACACACATTGAGAGGAGCATTAGGGGTAGTAATACACATTGAGAGGAGCATGAGGGGTGGTAAAACACATTAAGAGGAGCATGAAGGGTGGTAACACACATTGAGAGGAGCATGAGGGGTAGTAGGAGCATGAGGGGTAGTAGCATGAGGGGTGGTAACACGCATTGAGATTCGCCTGTGTGGTGGTGACACGAATCTGGATGTGAGTGAGAGGGGTGGTAACACACATTGAGAGGAGCATGAGGGGTGGTAAAAACACATTGAGAGGAGCATGAAGGATAGTAGGAGCATGACGAGTAGTAAGAGCATGAGGGGTAGTAACACGCATTGAGATGCGCCTGTGGGGTGGTGACACGAATCTGGATGTGAGTGAGAGGGGTGGTAACACGAATTGAGAGGAGCATGAGGGGTGGTAAAACACATTGAGAGGAGCATGAAGGGTGGTAACATACGTTGAGAGGAGCATGAGGGGTGGAAAAACACATTGAGAGGAGCATGAGGGGTGGTAAAACACATTGAGAGGAGCATGAAGGGTGGTAACACACGTTGAGAGGAGCAATCGGGGTAGTAGGAGCATGAGGGGTAGTAAGAGCATGAGGGGTGGTAACACGAATCAAGGCATGGTCAGACGAATGTAAGCATGGGTATGAGGTCATTTACCTGTCTGAGCTTCCTCCGTCGGTTCCATGATATTGAGCTGTCAAGCCGTACCTGTTGCTCGGGGATAGTAGAAACAAAGGATTAATGATCTGGCCGTGCGATCACACACAATAGCATTCACAGCGAGCGCACGTCCAGAGGCGCCTCTCGTCGTGCGCTCGCTCCCACGATCCGCATTCACAGCGAGCGCACGTCCCGAGGCGCCTCTCGCCGTGCGCTCGCTCCCACGATCCGCATTCACAGCGAGCGCACGTCCCGAGGCGCCTCTCGCCGTGCGCTCGCTCCCACGATCCGCATTCACAGCGAGCGCACGTCCCGAGGCGCCTCTTGCCGTGCGCTCGCTCCCACGATCCGCATTCACAGCGAGCGCACGTCCCGAGGCACCTCTCGCCGTGCGCTCGCTCCCACGATCCGCATTCACAGCGAGCGCACGTCCCGAGGCACCTCTCGCCGTGCGCTCGCTCCCACGATCCGCATTCACAGCGAGCGCACGTCCCGAGGCGCCTCTCGCCGTGCGCTCGCTCCCACGATCCGCATTCACAGCGAGCGCACGTCCCGAGGCTCCTCTCGCCGTGCGCTCGCTCCCACGATCCGCATTCACAGCGAGCGCACGTCCCGAGGCGCCTCTCGCCGTGCGCTCGCTCCCACGATCCGCATTCACAGCGAGCGCACGTCCCGAGGCGCCTCTCGCCGTGCGCTCGCTCCCACGATCCGCATTCACAGCGAGCGCACGTCCCGAGGCTCCTCTCGCCGTGCGCTCGCTCCCACGATCCGCATTCACAGCGAGCGCACGTCCCGAGGCTCCTCTCGCCGTGCACTCGCTCCCACGATCCGCATTCACAGCGAGCGCACGTCCCGAGGCGCCTCTCGCCGTGCGCTCGCTCCCACGATCCGCATTCACAGCGAGCGCACGTCCCGAGGCGCCTCTCGCCGTGCGCTCGCTCCCACGATCCGCATTCACAGCGAGCGCACGTCCCGAGGCGCCTCTCGCCGTGCGCTCGCTCCCACGGTCCGGATTCACAGCGAGCGCACGTCCCGAGGCTCCTCTCGCCGTGCGCTCGCTCCCACGATCCGCATTCACAGCGAGCGCACGTCCCGAGGCTCCTCTTGCCGTGCGCTCGCTCACACGATCCGCATTCACAGCGAGCGCACGTTTCGAGGCTCCTCTCGCCGTGCGCTCGCTCCCACGGTCCGTCTCGGCATACCGTTGTGCTAGTCTCAACTCATTCTCTTACCTTGACTGGTGCTGTATCCTCCACGGCGTGTCTCTAGCACAAGGAAGGAATGCACGCATAAGCCAGTGTCACATCTGCTTCAAACCAAAACAGCGCATTTTATTCCTTTGAGGGTACAACAAGACCAGGGATAACCAAACATGAATATGTTTGTCACATGGGTGTTGCAATAGGTGGATGGATGGCCAGAAATTGTTGTCAATTGCTGCAGCAATCATTGCTGCAGTCTATCACCTCCAAGAGTCTATGGACCCTCCACATTTTGAATGGCTTGTTTTGCTGTGGCAATCATGGCACCACAAGTTATGGTGCAAGTTGATTGAGTGCATGGGAGGAGGTGTGATCAAGATACTTAGCAATTGCATGTATCAAAGCAAGTTGCACTGCCAGCAATGGACTGCACAATCAAATTGAGTAACTCTCACGCTGAGTTGGAATGTACACATACTCTTCCCTGGTGGACCCTTCCAGATTTTGAATGGCTTGTTTTTGTTGTGTTGTATGGCACCACAAGTTCATGTGCAAGTTGTTTTGTGCATGAGATGAGGTGTGATCTAGATACTTAGCAATTGCATGTATCAAAGCAAGTTGCACTGCACACCATGGACTAATCAATCAAATTGAGTACCATGTACGCTGAGTTGGAATGTACACATACTCTTCCCTGGGTGACCCTTCCAGATTTTGAATGGCTTGTTTTTGTTGTTTTTTATGGCACCACAAGTTCCTGTGCAAGTTGTTTGAGTGCATGAGATGAGGTGTGATCAAGATACTTAGCAATTGCATGTATCAAAGCAAGTTGCACTGCCCACCATGGAACCAAAAATTCAATTGGTGTGATGTGAAGGGTGTGATGAGATGCATTGATACTTGGTGTGATGGCTCTTCAATTGTCCTTCCATCAAGGAAGAGGCTTGCTGGCTAGCATGGCACTTTCTCCCCATGGACTAATCTATCCTACACTATCGTTTTGTTACAATACAGACGTGTATGTGCATTTCCTCGTACAGATACACACATACCAAATAGCAAACCCGAGAATAAGATTGTGTGAACCACACGGCCATAACCCGTATCATTCAACCAAGCGTCTATGTTTAAAAAATGTGGCTGGACATTGTTATTAGGCTGTGAAACTCCAACATAGCCCTTTAAACGATTACGTGATTGTCTCTATGCCTTGGGGTATTGTTATTAAAGTTTTTCCGTTCCTAATCAAAACGTATACCCAGCAAATGAATCATACAGACCCTAGACAAATGCTGAATGCACGATCGTATGATTACAGGCTCGTTGGGACGTCGGCGGCTTCGCCCGCAAGCAAGGTGTTTTCTACGGGCTGAAACCCGCGGTCTCTTGGTCGAGCATGCGCACTGAATGCGCGACGCTCTCATCGACCGAGTCGCAGTACGTCGCGGCCACGGAAGCTGACAAGGAGGCTCGCCGACTGAGCTCCCTATGTGCACAAGTTCATGCTGCTCGACGCCTGGAAGCCTACTGTCCTTCACGTGGACAACCAGTCGGCCACCACGGTCGCAGTGGGCTTGGGGCTCAAGTGAAACCTTTAGCACATAGAGCGATGCTACGCCGGGCGGCATCAAATGGTGCAGCGCGGGAAGATTGCTCTGAAGTACATCCCGACCTCCGAGCAGCTGCCCGACTTTCTGCCGAAGGTGCCGCATTTTACAGCTTTCAACCGGGGCTCCGTCGCAAACGGCCAACTCTGGCCTGAGGAGAATAGGCAATTGTGGGAGAGCCTAGGCGCAGAGTGCAAAGCGGATGATTGTAAACCCAATACTGAGTTGCCCTGAACCGAATACTGATGCAAACTTGGTATGCAGTAATTGGTGAACGAAATTGATAACCTGATTAAATTGATTGATTACAAGAGAAACAACATGAACCTTTATAGAGAAGCATAGTGACGTGTGCAAGAACGTTCTACGAGAACGTTGTTCATGATGAACGTTGTTCAAGGAGAACGTGCAAGCACATAGTATAGTATGCGGTTTCCATGTAGGCACCGCCAGTTGAAAATACGATCTGGTGAAAATACCGTAAAGTGTATTTCTACCTGCCCATGAGTAGTTGCGCAGGTTCTTGCAACACTGACAGTTGCACATACGCGTTTGTGCAATATCGTCCCTTCCCTGTTCCAATGTCGGAATGTGCATGCCGAAGTGCGCATATTGGAGTGTACTTGGCGAATATCGCAATACAGGTAAACCGGTACGCCGTATGCGAAGTCTCGCTCCTCCGCATAGGGCTGCTACACGCGAAGCCAGGCGCGTGCAGGGATTCGCTTTAACATGGCCGACGTGCACGACGGTGATGATGAGATGCAGCAGTAGGTGCCGTTCCCTTCTGCACACCTGATGCGGTTACATTTGATACCATCCTCGTAGCGAGAGGATGGTTGACGGGCCCTACCCCAAACGATCCGTCAGGAGGCTCTGCGCAAGTCCGTCGAGAACGTCTACACGAGTCCGTCGAGAGGCTCTTCGAGAGTACGTCGACGATCTTAGCGCGAAACGGTCGAACACAGTTTGACGGGGTAGCATCGAACCAGTCGACCGAAGCTGCTCGAAAGTGAAGGTCGCGGATTTGCGCGAATGGCGCATCAGGAGGTTTTCGCAAAGTCAACCATGTGAAACCGTTACAGGCATGTTGTACCTGGCACCTGCGCAATGTTCCTGGCGACACGACCGTCTACCTGCACCTACTTGGTAGGTGCGCACATGCGCAGATGTTCACTTACCTCTGCGGCGCGGGCACACCGCTGCGATGCGACGATGGCATAACTACTCTACTGCATCGTTGGCAAGCCGCTATTCTACTGCGGTGGCAGAGCTCGGCCTGCAGTTGGCTTGCAAGGTGTTGCAATGCCATTCTAGCTATATCGACCTACATGCCTCATTGTATTCTTAATGTTCTTCTCAAATTTTTAGTGAAACGACAGCAAAAAAATCTCTATGAATACAACAAGTAGAAAGGAAGGCAGTAGAACATTACAATAGCTCGCACAACCCCGTGCCTTGCTCCGTAGCCTTCTCCCGTTGTGCAATGACTTTCCGCACAGGTTGGCGACCGGCCAGCGCTGCACCGTGGGGGCTTGCCCAATCTACATCAAAGTATCGTTGCAGCGTTGCAACCTCATGTGACTATATGCACACATGAGGGCAAATTCTTCGCACCTACTACATTTAACCAACCTAGATTGTGTTCACCAGGTATTGCCACCCTCTACCACAAGTCATCGGCCACAGGTCGACGTACGCCGTCGTCCACTGCCATATTCGTAGTCGACCGCCTCATTCTATTTGTTGGCGGGCCTCTGCCTAGTATATGGGAATGCCCGAACTTTTCTTTGAGGAGTCAACCCGGGCGTTATATTGGTTTTGTCTGGTAGCGACTCGAAAATTAGATGAATGAAAAAGAACAAACATTCCTGATTGTCAGAAAAGCAGGACAAAAATTCTTGCTAGCGAGAGGCCTGTTTGTTGGCGACATGGCTTCGGTCTCACAAACGTCGTCTTAGTTTCTCGACCTCCTCCATGAAGGCAGCGTCATACATTGACAGTAGCTGGCTGCACCTTCTGCACTCACGACTGAGTCAGCTTCGCTCAAGCAAAGGCGGGGCCATTTTGCGGAGATTCACTCGACAAGGGTAGTGAGCTAGACTACGGGGGGGTAGGCACGAAGTACTAAGAGTGATCGTAGCTTTGATTGCGTTTCTTAGCACTTGCGCATTCACGGGAGAAGTTGACAAGAGTTTCACTAGCAAAGTTGGAATTACAGAATGGTTGGGCAAGCAATGACAACAATGACTACATCAGGCACCTAGCAACCCTGCAGCTAGCCTGGTCGACTGCCAGCACAGCTTGGTCGACCGCCTGCCAGCGTTGCGTAGAGGAGCCGCGCCAGCACTGCAGAAAGGCGGCCTGCCAACAAAGCAGGTCGACGGCGTGCCAACGCTGCAGCAGAGCGGCTGTCCAGCGTTGCCCCGTAGAAGACAGCAGTGTGCACGCTCGCATGTGCGCGCAGACGATTGGCCCGACTTGCCTCGTTGGGCATTCGTTGGCTGTTGTCTGCGCCTGACGAGCCACATCTACTTCGGGATACCAGCCCGAAGTCGCCTGCGCCATCGCGACGTCGACTACGTTCGCGTGCCTCCATCGACCTCCCGGTCGAGCTGCAGGCCGACGGGCTGCTCCATCGAACTCCCGGTCGAGCTGCAGGTCGACGGGCTGCTCCGTCGACCTCCCGGTCGAACTGCCCCTCCTGGTCGACGACCCACCTGTCGCCCAGACCAGTCAGTTGCAGCTGTCGAGATCCCTGGTCGACAGCAACACCACAGCGGTCCTCTGCAGCTCGACGAAGCATGTCGAGCAGCTCTCCCACTGTGAACGGTCGGCTGCTACTCACGTACATCCGACCAAGTCGTCGGCGTTGCCCAAGCGAGGGCGGGGCCAAACACTACATTACTGTTAACACATTTCACGTCAACACGAGACACCGACTTGAAGGAGAAACTCGGCTGGTTTGTTCGGCCGACTTCGGCAAGGCCTGCAACCGCAAATCTGACTCCCTAGATGTTGACAGAGGTGAAGCCATGGTCACACGAACCAACGAGGTTAAGTTGGCCATCGTAGTTAAGTCACTAACATCTGGACGTCGAACATGATCGTCACTAACAACTTAAGTTAATAAATTGAACAACCTTGCCGTTGATAGTATTTATGTAAGTGTTGACCTGAAGCTGTGTGTGGTACTGTGGGTGACCAATATTGTTGTCTGACACATCACATTGTGATAGGTTTACATTAAAATAAGTTGTATGGAGAGGTTATATGTATGTTGAAGGTAATATGTAGATAACTACCCTTTCATAGTTTTGCTGTGCATCGTAGTTGTTACAACGAGCTACAGTAGGTACAGCAACTCACCACCTCGTTAGTCTGCCGTCGATCCCCACTCTCTCTGGTTCCTCGCGCCACTGGTTCGTATAACAAATCCAGATTTTTGAATGAGCGTCTAGGATGTGAACCCTAATCCGCGCTGTAAGATCCACGGGTTCAGAAGCTAACCCAGTCTTTGTATCAGTGAGCACCGTTCGATAATAAGTGCAGCATCGACGCTCTCGCGGAAACCTCGGTATGAACCTTTCCTCACCTCTTTACTGGAAGCGCTGAATGTGACTAGCAATTCTCCCTTTCCTCACACCTTCAACCACCTATCTTCATTCTCGCCATCACAATTTCGCATTTTGGAGTCGTTTTTTATTGCCAGGCACGATAGCTCAGTCACAAAACTCAAGCTGCGACAGCACAATGGACCGCATTGACTCCTCACATGCATTTCCTCTTGTCATTTAGGGTACGGTTATAAGACTCACCTGGCTATTTCTCTTAGTATCCACCAACCTAGCTTCCGAAGATCGACAATGGCTTCAGGTCACACGAGCACTAATGCGTTCATTCCGAGTGCACTCCCTCCGAGAGCGGACCCTGCAAGAAATAACTCGCAACCATGCCCGCATAGTAATGGCTCCAGTGGCGGCAACCAGACCCAACACGTTGTTGTCAATGTTGAAGCCAATGATGTGGATGACGGTACGATACCATCACTTGTCCCATCGTTGGCATCTTGACTACCCGTCCCTTCAGTTTTCCCCTGCTGTCGATAGTCTCGTTCTCATGCCGCTCCCTCACCCATCGTTTTTGCAGGAAACAAGTTTGTTTCTCTGAACGCTGTCTCTTTCAACTCGCCAAAAAAGCGCCAAGTACTGACAAAGTCGAAGCGTGCAGGGCGGAAGGGGAAAGGATATATAGCCGCTCGCAGAAGGGGACAGCAACCTCAGCGGCAGGAGTGGAGCGAGGCTGTGGCGCAGACAGCTATTCTTGCTGCAGCCTTTTCTAGCCGTTCTCAGTGTTCCACCGTGGCCGGGAACGCTCTCTGCTTGCCATCACAACCACGCCCTGGACTCCCTGCTGGCTCTACCCACCCCTTGACTCCAGTCGCTCCACTCCCACCCTCCTCCGCCTATGCGCCTGCTTCATCCCACCTTCTCGCAACGCCTCCACAGTCCAGCCCGGGTCTTCCCTCCGCCTCTCTCTCCCCTTCAGCTGCCGCCGCTGCTATCTCACCCTCCTCCGCCTATGCGCCTGCTTCATCCCACCTTCTCGCAACGCCTCCACAGTCCAGCCCGGGTCTTCCCTCCGCCTCTCTCTCCCCTTCAGCTGCCGCCGGTGCTATCTCACCCTCCTCCGCCTATGCGCCTGCTTCATCCCACCTCCTCGCAACGCCTCCACAGTCCAGCCCGGGTCTTCCCTCCGCCTCTCTCTCCCCTTCAGCTGCCGCCGCTGCTATCTCACCCTCCTCCGCCTATGCGCCTGCTTCATCCCACCTCCTCGCAACGCCTCCACAGTCCAGCCCAGGTCTTCCCTCCGCCTCTCTCTCCCCTTCAGCTGCCGCCGCTGCTATCTCACCCTCCTCCGCCTATGCACCTGCTTCATCCAACCTTCTCGCAACGCCTCCACAGTCCAGCCCAGGTCTTCCCTTCGCCTCTTTCTCCCCCTCAGCTACCCTCGCCGCTCTCTCACCCTCCTCCGCCTATGGCCATGCTCCCTTCTCTCGTCTCACCCCACTTACACAGTCCAGTGGTCTTCCCTCCGCCATCGCCTCACAAGCTACCCTTGCCGCTCTCTCACCCTCCTCTGCTGGAGTGCAAGTTTCAGCACATGCCCGCACCTCGCCTTCACAATCTGGTCTCCCCTTCACTGTCGCTTCCCTCCCAGCTACCCTCGCCGCTCTCTCACCCTCCTCCGCCTATGGCCATGCTCCCTTCTCTCGTCTCACCCCACTTACACAGTCCACCGGTCTTCCCTCTGCCATCGCCTCACAAGCTACCCTCGCCGCTCTCTCACCCTCCTCTGCTGGAGTGCAAGTTTCAGCACACGCCCGCACCTCGCCTTCACAATCTGGTTCCCCCTTCACTGTCGCTTCCCTCCCAGCTACCCTCGCCGCTCTCTCACCCTCCTCCGCCTATGGGCTCAATACCTCCCACCCTTTCACCTCACCTTCACAATCATGCCCTGTTACTGGCTCCGCCTCCGCCGCTGCAGCTGCTGTTCAGACTCCGTCCTCCATCCATGCTCATCCTTCGTACGGCTTGCTTGCTGCTGTTAATTACTTATCCCCTGGACTAGCATCAGCTTCGGCCTTCACTCTTCCTGCTGCCCGCTCCCCCGCTTCACCCGTTACGCAGCGAGCTCTGCTATCAGTTTCCCCCGGCCCCACTTCTTCAACGCCTCTTCCTGCCTCTGATCTGCCACAAGCAGAACTTCCATGGAATCTCCGGCCACGTAAGCAGAGGCCCACTCCCACCGACCCGCCTCCAATACAGGTCGATGCCCAAAATCTTGATGAAGAGTCAGATGATGACTCGCTTTTTGATAGTGGTCCCGAGAGGGAATCTGGGGGTGCTGCTGTACCACACCATGGTGCATCGAGGGGCATTCGCGCCGAACTTGAAGCATCGCAGGCAGAACGAACTTAGTCATAAGTCAACTCCGCCACATCAGCCCACACCTGGAATGGTTCATGCCAATCCAACCCTTGTCCAGCACGGTGTTACCATCCCTGCTGCCCCCCATGATCACCCCATTTCTGCCTCGCCCGCTCCTGCAGCCCTCGCTCCTAACAGCATTGCACCCTCCAACCATCCCGCTTCAGCTCTCCCCCTCTCTCCAATCAACGTGGTGTGGCCGCGCACTCAAGCTGCCTTTTGTCGTGCGCTGGCAAGGGCACGTGTTCGGAGGGAGACTATTGACACCGCGAGAATGAACCAACGGCAACGAGAGTGGGCGGAGAAAACGATTACTGCACTGGATGCTGTTCCGGACGTGCGTGCTGGCCTTGCGGTGAGCCTTGCAGAGCTTTTTGTAGCCTTTTCATGCCTCTATTTCCCCCCCTCCATTCCATGCCTGAAATACAAATGTCTCATGTCCGTTCTGGCAGTTTTGCCTTTTTACTCCAACATTCACTCCTCAGTCCGTACATTCCTTGCCATGCCCACCTTTCCCCTCCCCCATCACTCATTCCCCCCAAACTCCCCCCCCCCCCCCCTTTTCCACCCATCCTTCCCTCCCTTCCCTTTCCATACTGTCTCTCATTTCTTGCTTGCACAAACCTCCATGACTTCACGATGTACCCCAGCCACGAACAAAAGGAGTCAGCTTTGTCCTTGGCACTGGGTCTCCTTGAGCCTGAAGAGCAGGACATTATCGATGTTGTTCTCCAAGCCGATCCCTACCGGAGCGGGTACTACACCAAGATCATTCAGGAGTTTCGACACGATTCGCTGAATAATGGGCGCAACTGGGTCTAGGATTTCTTCGACCTGGAAGTGCCAAGGCCGAAGCTTGGCGGGAAAAAGCAAGGAGGGACCACTGTCGTAAAGTTCCTAGCCCTTTATGGTGCTAGTGAGTCCCCTTTCCCTTTCCCATCATCCGCCTTACCCACCCACAGATCATTTTCCCCTTTCGATCCTTTGATTTCCTTTTTTCTCGAGACCTCTGTAAAACCCTCACCCTGTTCCCCACTCTCATCATTTATCGTTTCCCGTATTAGAGATCATATCCTAAACCCATATGACATCAATCCCTCCACTCTACCTCTCTCCGAACCTCAACCCTGAACCTCCTCTCCCTCCTAATTCCCCTCCCCCTGTCCCTCTTCCCCTCTCCCTGTCCCTCTTCCCCTCTCCTTGTCCCTCTTCCCCTCTCCCTGTCCCTCTTCCCCTCTCCTTGTCCCTCTTCCCCTCTCCTTGTCCCTCTTCCCCTCTCCCTGTCCCTCTTCCCCTCTCCCTGTCCCTCTTCCCCTCTCCCTGTTCCTCTTCCCCTCTCCCTGTCCCTCTTCCCCTCTCCCTGTCCCTCTTCCCCTCTCCCTGTCCCTCTTCCCCTCTCTCTGTCCCTCTTCCCCTCTCCCTGTCCCTCTTCCCCTCTCATCCTCCCTCCTCCCCTCTCTAAACTCTCCCTTCATCTTCCACTCTCCCTATCCCTCTCCCTCTTCCCCTCTCCCTCTCCCTCTCCCTCTTCCCCTCTCCCTCCCCCACTCCCGCATCCCCTCTCAGAGAACAATCCCGAACCCTGTTTGCCTCTTCGCCTTGGAAACATCCTCACGCCTCGTCACCTTCAGCCATATTCCCTTTCATTATTCTCACCCTACACAAGTCTCCCCTCTTCCCCTCGCAGAAATAAGTAGTCCCTAAACCCCTCCTTCATTTTCCGGCACTCTGAACCCTCCCCTCCCTCCTCCTCCCCTCCTGCCTCCCCCCTTCCCTCCCTCCCCCTCACCCCCCAACCCCTAAACCAGGGCCTGCCCTCCCTTCTTCCTCCAGGTTCACTCGCTGTTTTCACACACTGAAACGCCCCCCTCCCCTCTCTGAAATCCCACACTATCTTCCCCCACACCAACAGGTCCACCAACTTGCAACTCCTCACTCTCTCCCTCTCCCTCTTCTCCTCTCCCTCTTCCTACGCATCGTTTTCTTTTTGAATTCCCTTTCATGATGGTCACCTTGCACAAGTCTCCCCCCTTCCCGGCGCAGAAGTAAGTATTCGCTTTTCCCTCTCCAATTTCCGGCACTCTAAACCCTCCCACCCACCTTCCCCCCACTTTCCTCCATCTCTCCCCCACCCTCAAACAGACCCTGCACCGCCATCCCCCTCGCAAGTTCACCCACTGATTTTTCTCATTGAAACTCCCCCTCACCTTTGAAATCCCACACTCTTCCCGCGCACCGACCAGCATGTTACAACCTCCTCACTGTACCTCTCCAGCCCCCTTTCCCTCTTCCCCTCTCCCTCTCCCGCTTCCCCCTACAGAACTGCACAAGAGACCCCTTCTCTTCGCCTTGCTGAAATCCGCATGCCTCGTCCCTTTCACTATTCTCACCGCCCACTACTCTCCCCTCTTCCCCTCGCAGCGAAAGTCGTCACTTTTTCCAGCCTTCATTAACCAGCACTCTCAATCCTCCCCACCCTCCTCCCTACCCCCTTCTCCTCCCTCCCCACGCCCCCTAAACCAGGGCCTTCCCTCCCTTCTTCCTCCAGGTTCACTCGCTGTTTTCACCCACTGAAACGCCCCCCTCCCCTCTCTGAAATCCCACACTATCTTCCCCCATACCGACAGGTGCACCAACTTGCAACTCCTCACTCTCTCCCTTTCCCTCTACTCCTCTCCCTCTCCCTCTCCCTGTTCCCCTTTCCCTCTCCTTCTTCCCCTCTCCCTCTCCCTCTCCCCTCTTACCCTCTCCCTCTCCCTCTTTCCCTCTCCCTCTCCTCGCTCTCCCTCTCCCTCTCCCTCTCCCTCTCCCTCTCCCTCTCCCTCTCCCTCTCCCTCTCCCTCTCCCTCTCCCTCTCCCTCTCCCTCTCCCTCTCCCTCTCCCTCTCCCTCTCCCTCTCCCTCTCCCTCTCCCTCTCCCTCTCCCTCTTCCTACGCATCGTTTTCTTTTTGAATTCCCTTTCATTATGGTCGCCTTGCACAAGTCTCCCCTCCCCCCTTCCCGGCGCAGAAATAAGTATTCGCTCTTCCCTCTCCAATTTCCGGCACTCTAAACCCTCCCACCCTCCTTCCCCCCACTTTCCTCCCTCTCTCCCCCACCCCCAAACAGACCCTGCACCGCCATCCCCCTCGCAAGTTCACCCACTGATTTTTCTCATTGAAACTCCCCCTCACCTTTGAAATCCCACACTCTTCCCGCGCACCGACCAGCATGTTACAACCTCCTCACTGTACCTCTCCAGCCCCCTTTCCCTCTTCCCCTCTCCCTCTCCCGCTTCCCCCTACAGAACTGCACAAGAGACCCCTTCTCTTCGCCTTGCTGAAATCCGCATGCCTCGTCCCTTTCACTATTCTCACCGCCCACTACTCTCCCCTCCTCCCCTCGCAGCGAAAGTCGTCACTTTTTCCAGCCTTCATTAACCAGGACGGTCAATCCCCCCCACCCTCCTCCCTACCCCCTTCTCCTCCCTCCCCACGCCCCCTAAATCAGGGCCTGCCCTCCCTTCTTCCTCCAGGTTCACTCGCTGTTTTCACCCACTGAAACGCCCCCCTCCTCTCTCTGAAATCCCACACTCTCTTCCCCCATACCGACAGGTGCAGCATCTTTCAACTGCCTCATATGGCACATGAATGATTACAGAGTGCCCTTTTCTGCTCCGTGCTTCATTGATGCAATCATTGCATCCTTCAAACGACCCAAGGGTCGCGTTCTGATTCTCCCTTTGAAGCTATTGGCCTTTTGGCTCCATGGGGTGAGTTGTCTTTTCAACGGTTCCCGCTTGTCTTATTTATGCAAAAGCTAATCCTTGCCATTTCTTAACTACAGGTAGAGCACAGAATCCTTCAGAATGACAAGAACAAGTCAAAGAGCTCATCGGATAACCACCGTGATGTTAATGTCTATTTCAACGACATCTGGAACTGGGCTAAAGCTGCAATAAGGGCGGCGACAGCACAGAATGGACCTTGGTGGAGGGCAGACGTGAAGGCATGGGCATTCGTTCACAGCGATTTGGTTTTCATCAGTGCTGAGGGTCTTGAAGACCTCGTTCCCCGTGCATTTCCTTACCCAATTGGCTAGCTATTTGCTTGGTAATGCAATAAACATGTTATGTGCACTCCTAGGTACTGTAGGTATGCTGTAGAACAAATAATGACAATTTAGGGTTTAGTGTTTAGAACAAATAATGACAATAATGACAATTTAGGGTTTAGGGCGATGTTTGCGGAGTACCTCACCACTTCGGCAGGGGCGGAGTTTCTTGACCCGTGGTTTGCCAAGGCTCTTGTGCAGCTGCCTGCGACTATACGCCAGGAGATGCCGGGCTTACCTCTGTGCGTAGCGGCCCCTTCTCTTCGGCTTTTCCAGGCGCGGCAGCGGCTGTTGGCGGTAGAAGAGCTCCAGGCACTGCGCCGCTCGGCTCGTGACGATGCCACCCTGGCCCGTTTCACATCCCTTCAGGGCCCGGGGGCTGGTGCATGGGTTTCGGCGGTTCCGGCTCACTCAGATCTCACATTCACTGCGGCGGAGTGGGGCATTGCTGCTGCTATACGGCTCGGGCTCCCAATTCAGCAGCTGCAGGTGGCGGGGAGGTGTGTTTGTGGTACAGCGTATGTTGACCCAGCAGACCCGCATCATGCCCTGAGATGCAAGCACCAGCACGGTCCATCTCGGGTGCATGATGAGGTGAAGTTTGCGGTGGCGAAGATTTCTAAGGCGTCAGGGGGGGTGGTGACGATGGAGGATAGTGTGGTGCTGCCGGGGAAGCGGGTTGACGTAGCGGTGCGACGACCAATGGCCGGGGAGGCTCATGCTCTAGAGATCAGCGTCGCGGACCCGCTGTCGCTGTCTCCATCTCTGCTAGGGCAGTGCGGGCGTTCTATAGGTGTGGCGGCAAGGGAGTGGGAGCGTCGCAAAACGAGTGATTACGCGCCTCTGCTTGCACGCAACCGGGGCGTGCAGTTCACCCCTTTGATAGTAGAGACGTGGGGGTGTCTCGGCGGTCGTTTCCGGCGGTGGCTTCGTCAGCAGGGGGACGCGCACGTGGGGCTAGCTGTGTCACGGGGGGCTTGCCGGGAGGATGACACTTCGTTTTCGGCTTATCTTTTGGGGTCTCTGAAGGCGCTCATCGGGGTGGCGTTACAACGGGCGCAAGCTCGTGTCATCCTGCTTCGGGCGGCGTCTTCCATGGGGAGGATGAATGTGGATTTGGTGGACCAGGAGAGGGACGACGTCGAGGTGGAGGGCGGGGCTCTTTGGGTGGAGGCCCTGTACATGGTGGATGCACAGATTTGATTGAGGTTGGGTGAAATGGGGAGCGGAATGGGGTATCTTGATGGGGCGCCTTGACTGGGCGTTTTGATTGGGTATCTTGATGGGGTTTGATTTTTTGGAGTGTATGTGAGTGCATTTAAAGAGAAAGCATTGCTCGTAGAAACTCAGTTATTTCTTTATGCAAATCTTCTGTACAAAAAAAAAAAAAAAAAAAAAAGACAATTAATAAATAATATTATATTAACAACAGTAATGCAGCAAAAATGAAAAAAACAAATTGTAATAATTTTGAATAGCACTGTAGCTATATACCACAAAAACTAGAACTTTATTATATTCATGACAACAATAATGTGAACAGTGTATCGCTCATTATCATTACTAACAGCAACTCGTTTAAAGATAGTCACAAATTAAATCTAGATGCGCATTGGGTTACATAACGGTCGGCAGATTGGTGTTATGTCATAAAAACAAATTTCGAGATTAGACACAGTGAGGATTGGAGACACAGATACAGAACACTGTCAGAATAACAGCTAGAACGCAGGAGCCATAGCTAGGGTTTAGCTAGCTAGGCAAGAGAAAATAAGCAAAGGAGGGTTTGCACTAGCAGCAGTTGAGATACATATAGGAAACCCTAATTGGGTTGTATTCGCTATAGAGTACCTCACTGCAGGCTAGACAAGCATAATATTCTGACACACCCCCATAGTCAAAGTGGGGTATAATCAGCACAGCAAGCAGTCATAGAGCAGGTTCACAAGGACAAGCAAAACTAGAGGCATTC